TTCGATTYKATTCAGATTTTTGGGGTCACAATTCGATCCAAAATCAATTTTTTCATTCACAACTCAATGTGAGCCCATTTGTCATGTTCCTAAAGTGTTTCCTTGTCATTTTGCAAATTTTGCACACAGTGAAGCTCATGTCAAACTCAGACTCACTCAGTAAAAAAACAAAATGAGCCCAAATCTTTGCATTCAATGAAGACAGGGGTCAGTTGAATTTCTCTTTCCTCCAGTTTTGTAGTTTCCTCTTTGTTTTGGTGCTTTCTGCACATTCATATGTTCCAGCTCCATGTGACGTCAGGACGTCCCAAGTGGCTACAAAATGGAGGTTGACAACCTTTGGATTTTACATATACAGTACACTCACATTTAAAAAAACATTTTGGGACATTTTAAATCAGTTCTGAATCTTTGTAAATGAGAATCACGATTCAGATTTAAAACAATTTTTTTTTTTGGTGCACCCCTAGTTCATAGTACCATCACAATTAGGATGGTATTGATTTTAGTTCAGAATCTTGAAACATATACTTATAAGATCAGATAAAATGACGAAATGTAGTGAGTCCATGCTGTTTGTCATCTCTGTGTATAGGAGCTGTACAGAGATGACCCTGCTGTATGTCAGCTTATATTTTTCAGTGCTGGATGGAAGCTCAGTCTGAACCATGTTGGAGTGGAGTGATGCTGCCTTTGGCTTTTTGAGGAGGGGTGTTGGAGGGGTGGGTGGACTGAACTGGAGCACAGCTCTGAGCCATAGGCAGAAATACCAGCCCRAAGTAGGACATGTCAAGAAATGGGGTTAGTGGCGTTTGGGCATCTCTCACAGATAACTTTGTGCACGGATAACAAGAAGCGACTWTAGGAAACAGTGACTCGCTGCTGATTATTTCTTCATTTTCTTTCATGCTTTCTGGGTTATTTTTCATATTGGTCATATCAATAAACAGCTGACAGGATTTGTTATTTAAAAATGGAAAATTATACTTTTATATTCACCTCAGTTTAGTGGCAGATTTTGTGTATTTTTCAGTCAGGGACCACATTGTAAAAAGAGCAGCCAATCATTACATGTAGTGCTTYACACATTCAGGAGAGACTTTTGTAGACTCTGACCTAAGTATTGGTCTCTGCAGGACATGGAGGAAGTTTCTTGGCCATGTTGGCGGAGTTTGTAATTTTTAGAGCATTTATTTTGCAGAAAACTGTATTCATAATCAAACCCAGCACTTTTTGCTGTAGTGCAA